ACGTCTAAACACATGAAATAAACTATCGCCTCACAGCCTAAACACCACCTGAACACAATATTCCCATAATCTAAACATGTTAAGAATTTACACACGTAAAAACATGTTTAGAGTTTAAACAAGTTTTAACATATTTAGATTTTAAACATGTTTAAGGTCTACACATGTTTCGAATTTAAAAACGTTTAAACATGTTTATATTCGAAATAAAGTGCATTAGGTAATAAGTCAAATATAGATAACAGTTATAACATACAATATGTATATGGAAATTAGATGTGCAAATCAGATTCGCAGGCACTTGCACAACACATAAACCACCAGGACTTACAACGAACCTTGTACAAAATTAACATTTAAATGTACAAATAGTGGATAGTGTTTAACTTTGTGTTTAGGACCAAAACATATTTTTTACAGTGTGGAAATAAACATGTTGCCTGCTCCTAATGTGACTGAATATACCATGAGGAATACTATACAGCCTATACATTTGGTAAAATATGTTTCGTAAAATGTGTATGCATGACGACAGACGTCCTAGAATACCAGCACATTGGTCGTCGGGGTCCATGCCTCATCAGGCACGTGACATGCACTCGCATAAGATGCTTTATACCTGGGCGGTGTAACCCAAACTAACCCCGTACAGATGCAGGCAAATAGAAGAAATTAATAGTTGTTGCTTGGTAACAGGAGGGGATCCTACCTTTGAGTGCGAGAGAAAATAAAGCTATGAATACTGGTACTTGGTAGCTTCACGTCATAATCACCCTAGGTATATCTACACGAATAATGGTAGATAGCTACATCTACACGAGTAATGGTAGATAGCTACATCTACACGAGTAATGGTAGATAGCTACATCTACACGAGTAATTGTAGATAGCTACATCTATACAAGTAACGGTAGACAGCTACATCTACACAAGCAATGGTAGATAGCTACATCTACACGAGTAATGGTCAATAGCTACATATACACAAGTAATGATAGATAGCTACATCTACACGAGTATGGTAAATAGCTACATCTACACGAGTAATGGTAGATATCTAGACAAGTAATGGTAGATAGCTACAACTCAGCGAGTATAAGTAGGTAGCTACATCTACACGAGTAATGGTAGATATCTACATCTACACGAGTAATTGTAGATAGCTACATCTACACGAGTAATTGTAGATAGCTACATCTACACGAGTAATTGTAGATATCTACATCTACACGAGTAATTGTAGATAGCTACATCTATACAAGTAACGGTGGACAGCTACATCTACACAAGCAATGGTAGATAGCTACATCTACACGAGTAATGGTAGATAGCTACATCTACACGAGTAATTGTAGATAGCTACATCTACACGAGTAATGGTAGATAGCTACATCTACACGAGTAATTGTAGATAGCTACATCTACACACGTAATGATAGATAGCTACATCTACACGAGTATGGTAAATAGCTACATCTACACGAGTAATGGTCAATAGCTACATCTACACAAGTAATGATAGATAGCTACATCTACACGAGTAATGGTCAATAGCTACATCTACACAAGTAATGATAGATAGCTACATCTACACGAGTATGGTAAATAGCTACATCTACACGAGTAATGGAAGATAGCTAGACAAGTAATTGTAGATAGCTACATCTACACGAGTAATTGTAGGTAGCTACACCTACACGAGTAATGGTAGATATCTACATCTACACGAGTAATTGTAGATAGCTACATCTACACGAGTAATTGTAGATAGCTACATCCTCACAAGTAATTGTAGGTAGCTACACTTACACTAGTAATGGTAGATATCTACATCTACACGAGTAATTGTAGATAGCTACATCTACACGAGTAATTGTAGATATCTACATCTACACGAGTAATTGTAGATAGCTACATCTACACGAGTAATGGTAGATAGCTACATCTACACGAGTAATGGTAGCTAGCTACATCTACACAAGTAATTGTAGATATCTACATCTACACGAGTAATTGTAGATAGCTACATCTACACGAGTAATGGTAGATAGCTACATCTACACAAGCAATGGTAGATAGCTACATCTACACGAGTAATGGTAGATAGCTACATCTACACAAGTAATTGTAGATAGCTACATCTACACACGTAATGATAGATAGCTACATCTACACGAGTAATTGTAGATAGCTACACCTACACGAGTGATGGTAGAAAGCTACATCTATACGAGTAATAGCGGGTAGCTACATCTACACAAGTAATTGTAGATAGCTACATCTACCCGAGTGATGGTAGATAGCTACATCTGAACGAGCAATGGTAGATAGCTACATCAACACACGTAATGGTAGATAGCTACATCTACACGAGTAATGGTAGATAGCTACATCTGAACGAGCAATGGTAGATAGCTACATCTACACGAGTAATGGTAGATAGCTACATCTACACGAGTAATTGTAGATAGCTACATCTACACGAGTAATGGTAGATAGCAACATCTACATGAGTAATGATAGATAGCTACATCTACACACGTAATGATAGATAGCTACATCTACACGAGTAATTGTAGATAGCTACACCTACACGAGTGATGGTAGAAAGCTAAATCTATACGAGTAATAGCGGGTAGCTACATCTACACAAGTAATTGTAGATAGCTACATCTACACGAGTGATTGTAGATAGCTACATCTACACGAGTAATTGTAGATAGCTACATCTACACGAGTGATTGTAGATAGCTACATCTACACGAGTAATTGTAGATAGCTACATCTACACGAGTGATTGTAGATAGCTACATCTACACGAGTAATTGTAGATAGCTACATCTACACGAGTGATTGTAGATAGCTACATCTACACGAGTAATTGTAGATAGCTACATCTACACGAGTAATGGTAGATAGCTTCATCTACACAAGCAGTGGTAAATAGCTACATCTACACGAGTAATGGTAGATAGCTACATCTGAACGAGTAATGGTAGATAGCTTCATCTACACGAGTGATGGTAGATAGCTACATCTACACGAGTAATTGTAGATAGCTACATCTACACAAGTAATGGTAGATAGCTACATCTACACGAGTAATTGTAGATAGCTACATCTATACGAGTAATTGTAGATAGCTACATCTACACAAGTAATTGTAGATATCTACATCTACACGAGTAATTGAAGATAGCTACATCTACACAAGTTATGGTAGATAGCTACAACTACACGAGTGATGGTAGATGGCTACATCTACACGAGTAATGGTAGATAGCTACATCTACACAAGTAATTGTAGATATCTACATCTACACGAGTAATGGTAGATGGCTACATCTACACAAGTAATTGTAGATATCTACATCTACAAGAGTAATGGTAGATAGCTACATCTACACGAGTGATGGTAGATGGCTACATCTACACGAGTAATGGTAGATAGCTACATCTACACGAGTAATTGTAGATAGCTACATCTACACGAGTAATTGTAGATAGCTACATCTACACGAGTAATGGTAGATAGCTACATCTGAACGAGCAATGGTAGATAGCTACATCTACACGAGTAATGGTAGATAGCTACATCTACACGAGTAATTGTAGATATCTACATCTACACGAGTAATTGTAGATAGCTACATCTACACGAGTAATTGTAGATAGCTACATTTTCACGAGTAATGGTAGATAGCTACATATACACGAGTAATGGTAGATAGCTACATCTACACAAGTAATTGTAGATATCTACATCTACACGAGTAATTGTAGATAGCTACATCTACTCGAGTAATGGTAGATAGCTACATCTACTCAAGCAATGGTAGATATCTACATCTACATGAGTAATTGCAGATAGCTACATCTTCACAAGTAATGGTAGATAGCTACATCTACACGAGTAATGGTAGATAGCTACATCTACACAAGTAATGGTAGATAGCTACAGTTACACGAGTAATGGTAGATAGCTACATCTACACGAGTAATGAGCCTTAAGTGTGACTAGGATGCACACCACATGTTATGTTACTTTCTATTTTCTCACACTATATGAGATCCGACTGCTGCGTTAGTGAGGGGGAGATGAGATGGAAGACAAAGGGATGTTCTCCTCCGACTGAGATTCCGCAGCGTCGGGCTTGAACTGCAGCACCCGTCGTAATGAGAAACACGTCACACCACACAAACCCCTGCAGTCAACATCAAAGAAGCTCCTCATCACTACAGGGATTGGTTCAAGAAGGATGTCGTAAACTACATCGTTATCCGGGGACGACGGCAACAAGGGCATCTTGTGTGAGACGGACCAGACCAGGGTAGGGGGAGTAGACGTGATGGATTTCTTGTAACTTTCCTGTTCTGTTATCGAACGTTACTTCCACGTTAAGTAATCACTGATAGTCTTTGTTACAAAATACACATTACAATCCCCACTGCTATAGCTTCCTTAACTAATATACACCACTACAGCCACTGTTCTGTTCTGTACAGTCACATGCGGTGACGCGGATGGGCTGACATGTGTGGCGGTAGAGCGCCCTATCGAGGCATATGGTGCAGAGTGACAAAAGATCCACAATCCCAACATGTAGTTGTTTTCATACGCCTCAGATTAGAGTAAGGTTTATATTCCAGCACTTTTGAAGTTTGATTTTCTTATGAATGATGTTTATAAACTATTTATCACGGTGTTTTTATGCATGTTTATTAAGAACTTCCACAAGGAAACATGTCGGTAGAGCAATATGAGCATCACCTACACGGTCATACATAACAAGGTAACCAATCAATGAAATTGCAAGAAATAAATGTCATGCAACAAGCTAATAAGGTAAACATCCCGTCAGACGCGTCCCGGTCCGTCAGAGCTTCCGACATCAGTATCTGTGTGCTTCCTTCCGCTGGTGTACATAGCTGTCACTCACTCAGTCGCCGACTGCCTCGCTCGCTGCGGTACTTGCTGTACCCGTGTAAGTTGCCGCCGCCGCCGCAGACAGTGCCGCGTCCCAGAACCAGCTGATCACTGCACACTCCTACAACAGCAAATCGTCATCCGCGGGGGACTATTTTTAGCTGCGGAGTTGGAAGAGAGATCGAGTGAGTGGCCTGGTTGTCAGATGTGTAGACAACTGGGAAGAAGGGAGCGCGTGTAGTTCTACAACGGGAGCAGACACTTTGCAAAGTTTGGAGGATTTGATTACTTTTATCAACACTGAAGGACCATTTTCAATTTTTTGTGCACATTCGAAACGGATATATATACATATATATATTTGCTTCGTGTAAGGTGAGTTGATTCCATACAACGTATAGTAATTTAAAATACACCAAACACCGTGAAACCTACTGTGATTGTGTTCTAATGTTCCATGACTTGATAGATACTTGTACCGATCGCGAATTAATTTACTGTTACCGACTATTTTGTTTGTGTTGTCAGTGGTAAGACATTTAGTCTTTACTAACCATTTTTCAGGGGCACGTGAAGTGTGACACGCAGTATTTTTACATCAACGCCTTATATTCATATACACTTTTGGCTACGTGATCTTAAGTTTATTATAATTTAAGTTTTCCGTTTGGAAACCAGCCTGCAACCCCGTCTAACATGTGGAATGTTTACCAATGTGCTTCACACGCTCTTGGGAGCTTTGTACATGAATGTTTTCAAAACCATTTTCCGCATTAAATTTGCATGTTGGAGTCTAGCAGTGAAATGAAACACGTGGCCTCTGGATCCAGGTGTGTGCTGTGGCCGGTACCCGGTATCGGGACGTGGTCAGTGATAGCTTGACTTGTTGATTTCACGCCATAGCTGCACAAAGAAAATCGGACACCATAAATTAATGGTGCGGTGTTAGGATCGACACTAACTTCACAGAGACGGGCTTTTTGTGTACCCTGCTTCTGTAGCAGTTTATAATGCAAACACATACATGTATTCTGCAATCGACACATGATGCCAACCTGTTGATTTCACGGTTACAAAATTATGTTTGATGGCGAAGTGAGCAACTTTTGAAAGAATTATGTCCATCCCTTTATCCACCTTGTTTTAGGAGATACGTCCAATCAAACTACAGCTGTGTGGTGAAATATGTACTATACACATGTATAGTTGTGTATTGGAGTGCTTGAGTTGTGGAGGCAGATATGCATGGATGTACACATCAAACACCGGACACTGCTCGTGACATTCTGCAAGAGCGACAGTGGGGAACGACTATGCCCTGCACATCTGCACTGCCGTAAGGGGAAATGAAGATTTATTGACGAGGACAGTACACTGAATTTGACAGTGTGGCAATTGACGTATATAGGGTCGGCTATGTGTGAGTGCGGGGGAGATGTGAATGAAACGCTGGAAATCGTCACCTGATGCACCACGGAGTTATAACACAACATTGTTGGATGGCGAAATGTGAGAGCGCTCGTGTAGATAAGCCGGTTTATGTGATGGAGCTACAAGCACGGATGATATGAGTGATAAACACGATTATTTGGCTAACACTACATGGGGGAAAGACAGATCGTCTGTTACTGGTTTTCAAGGATTTGACTAAAGAAAGCTGGTACCGTGATTCATAAGTTGAGATAGGCGAGGGAGCAATCACCATAGTGGAGCGGGTGTGGGACCACAGTACTTAATGGATGCCACAAAGATTATTGAAACAGGTTACATGTGCAATAACGACCTTTGACCCCCTCGAAGAATAGGGAAGATGTGCCGTGGAGGAGGGACGGGTTAACTTGGTGGGGGGTGGGGGTGGGGTAATCTTATATATGACGGTTAGATTGGTGGAGCTAAAGGGACATGTCGCTATTTGTAAAGGCACCGACACAAACAGATTTAAAGTTTCGTTTGACTTACGACGAACAACGTAATTTACTTGAAACCTCTAAGGTGAGGGGTCACTGACAGTCTGACTAACTCATTCATATATGAATGATTATATAGGAAACATTCAGTAGTACACTTACGTACGTCTCCTGCCAGTCAGGTGGCGAGGCAGAGTGAGTGCACTGCGGGCCTGTCTTTCATACAAACACACACAAGTTTTTAATTTGTGCTTAAACGGTATCCACATTTGAATATAGGGTTTTGCCCAGTGCATTACATTAGCGTTGATTCCAGCATTGTAGGTTTGTAGATGACTCCTGCATATCAAACACGAACACCAGGACTCGTCTGTCAGTCCACGCCACAGCTAGGTGTCGCGTTACTTGCTTACAACCCTGTTTCTCTATAACTAACACCTAATGTAGACACACATTTATAAACCGAGTGACGTGTTGTTTGTAACAATAATAATGTGAAACACGTAGTACATCTTCCGAGGTACACACTCAGTGTACTCATAAAACCGTTGTGCATACTTAGTGCTGAAGGTCGTCAAGTCGGGGGGAATGATTGTGTGTAATGGGATCTCATTTCTGTCATTCCGATCTGGAAAACTCAAGCTTTGGCTTTTGTCGGCGGTGAATTATTCATACGCGAGTATTGATAACGGTTATATTGGTGAATAGTACAAGAAAAGAGCGACACTGTCAGCTCTACACGTACCCCGTGAGTACTGGGTGTGCGTTCTTGCTGCACCCACATCACCGGCTGTTGCTGCTGCTGCTGCTGCGGATGCTGTTTCTACATCAAGACAAAAATGTATCGCAATATTTCACCATCTCCCATCTAAATGGGTGATTATTTGGTTAATAGCAATATATTGCAGAAATAAGTCAGTATTCAGAAATTATTATTTTATGAAATTGATATCAACCATAATATTGCCCATTGAAACTTACATGGATGTCGAGAGTAGACGACCGTTTAGATGAACTGTATACCTGCAGGTTTCCAGGCAGAACACACTTGTTTTCAGTCAGCTTGCGCTGTCTGTAGAAACATGTTGTAAGTAACGAATATTGTTATATTTCATATATGTTTGAATGATCAACTACGCAACACGTCACTGCGCTAGGTCTCGCACACAGGTTATACCTCGGAGAGAAATTTCAAACAAGATTGCCATTGATGTCAAAGATCTGTTTGGTTTGAACATGAGAGACATGTAGACCACCCGGAAAAGGCTGTCCGGCCATGTCGCCATGGAGTTGCAGATGCCGAGTAAGGCAGTAAGACGTCCACGTCATCGCCAAGTGGAGCTGCAGCCCGGGTCAGCCAAGCACTCGTGCACGTGTGCACTCAGCTGTGAACACAATGATGATGTAAATGTGATTTAGGGGAAATCAAAGCGATTTAAAACCTGCCTACTGACACTGACACACGCACAGATGAACTACCAAGGAGAATCGTAGCATGACATGGGTTTTCGTTTTGAGAGGATTTCAGACATATCAAGCTTGCTGTGCCTTCAACCAATAAGATAACTCACATAAGATGTTTCAGGTTTAAAGATTGTCGGGGCATTGGTGAACACGTCTATTGGAATGATCGATCTCATAACTCATAACACGTGCTGCTGTTATAACCAATTATGTAGTTACTTCCTCGATGTCGAACGTTCACGTTGTCAGAGCCGTTGTTAAACCATGTTGCTGTCCGTAATTTGTAACCAGAATGTATTACGCTTTGGTTTACAAGCAGTGGCAAAGGACACCGTAGAGCTATACCCCATCAGAATCAGTAGACTAACAGAACACAACCCTTCCGAGTGGTCTCATCTAATCACATAAACAATCGCCCTCCTAACACCGCGCTACGCTGCTGCTGCAACTCCCAGATGCCTAAATAAAGACATGGCCTGTCTGTTCCGCATCATCAAAGATGGTGAGTTGAATTTTTCGAGATGAAAAGTTAAGTGACGAACGACATGCCTGTGTTATGAATGGGCAACACAGATCCGGGTCTTCACTTACGTCCACGTAATCGACCTGCAGCATGGTCTCAAGTGTTTACACACGTGGCTTTCAAAATTCAATTCTTAAATGCTTGCTTATATGACATGGGCCATATCGTCAGCTACATATTTTAGATTCCCACACAGTCAACGGCCTCTTCGATGGCCTGGTGGAAGGGGGGTCATCATCAGCCAGACATTGGCCTTTGGGGAGTAGTTGAAATGATGGAACAAGTGTATGTCGGTTACATGTTTGTTATATGCCTGTTACACACAAGCCATGAACACGCAAGCGTTACCCTTGCAATGCCTTCACTTCATCAGCAGCAAATACCACGTGTCAAACTGGTTACTTGCTAAGAGGTCTTCATCAGCAGCAAATACCACACGTCAGACTGATTACTGACTAAGAGGTCTTCATCAGCGACAAATACCACGTGTCAAACTGGTTACTTGCTAAGAGGTCTTCATCAGCAGCAAATACCACGCGTCAGACTGATTACTGACTAAGAGGTCTTCATCAGCGGCAAATACCACGTGTCAGACTGATTACTGACTAAGAGGTCTTCATCAGCGGCAAATACCACGTGTCAGACTGATTACTGACTAAGAGGTCTTCATCAGCGGCAAATACCACGTGTCGGAGTGATTACGGACTACGAGGTCATCATCAGCGGCAAATACCACGTGTCAAACAGATTACTGACTAAGATGTCTTCATCAGCGGCAAATACCACGTGTCAAATTTGATTACTGACTAAGAGGTCTTCATCAGCGGCAAATACCACGTGTCAAATTTGATTACTGACTAAGAGGTCTTCATCAGCCGCAAATACCACGTGTCAGACTGATTACTGACTAAGAGGTGATCAGCAGCATATAACACTTCTCTGATTACTGACTAGCTCGTCTATCAGCGGTGATGTGGGCAATGTGCCTGTACCTTCACAGGGACGGAATCTACTGCTGAAGACAAATCACATGAATTGTGGACCGTGTTTCCAACAAACCAACAAACCGTTCCCATGAGACACGTCCCCGGATCTGGAAGTCTGAATAACATATGACGTCATCATGACATCAGGTGGGCGGCCTCCTGTGAGTCTCTACTTAATCTCCTAATCAGGCCCCGACTTGGTGTTGGTCGAGTCGCAAATCCTAATCTTTAATCCCCCCCCCCCCCCCCCCCCTCCCTAAACGTAATGGGGCATAATCTATAAATTAAGCTAACAAAGATAGTTAATTAGACGCATGCATTAGATATATTTTCTCTCAGTGTGTAATGTTACTGCGGTACTCTAATGAGAGTTGTTTTGTTTTCCTGACTCTAGAGATATGCATCAGTTTACGTGTTTCAGAAGAATGAATCACCACTATATTGTACTTTACTTCTGTGATGGACTGGTTTTTGTACTTAAGTCTTTTGGTGGAC